AGACTCAGTCTCAAACAAAAAAAAAAAAAAAAGAGAGAAAGAGAGAGAGACACGGCATTTCTCTCTAGCTATCTTTAAAATATACACAGTGGCCACCGGCAAGTGTGTAGTAATGTATAAGGTGAGTTGTCATGTTCTATTTGTATCAGTTTCAATAAATGTGTTATCTATTCTCCAGACTTTTATTGATAAAGACAAGAATCAAAAGCAGGCTGTGAAGAATAAACCTTAAACAGTAACCGCTATACTTTCCCGCTGCATGCATAGACTTTCTATGAAAAATATCTGAATTCAAGGTCATCTATGTCATCGAGTTTCAACACACCATGTGTGCTGTGTGCCCTGTGTGTGTGTGATTTGCAGAGCCCTTAAATTTAAATTTATTTCAGAAAGGAAAGCATCAGTGTGGTGTATAACAAAGTTGTATGAAGGGTTATCAGACCTCTAAATACATCAAAAACAAGTAAAAACTGCATTTTTTCTAAATCAATTTGGTAAACTACTACACTGACTTCTTATAATTAAAAAAAAATTAACTCAAATTTACTGTCTTTGAGTCAAGTATTTTAACATTTCATATTGTTTTATTGAAGACTAAGGAATTCAGACTTTGGGTTCTTGACCAAGACACATTATATATGGAATAATTAGTGCTAGTCAGGATGCTGTTGAAAAAGCACATGAATATTAATTTGTCACACACAGCAATTACAATCAAAATTAAATATGCAAGTAAACCCTGCATTGCTTCTGTCTATCCTGCTCCCAAGGATTATTTTAAACGATGATGTGAAAGTATTTCCTGATAATTTATTCACTATTGGTAGGAGAGTTTATATTAAGTTTGATATGCAAATAATTGAGAATATTAATAAATATCTTGTATTTGTGAATATCTAATGAGGGGGTGTCCACTGCCTCTGTAAGAGAAGGACATCTTCAAGGTCTCATGCCCTCTCTAGGGAGCCCTTTGTTCTGTTTTTGATAATTCATCACATTTTCTTAAAAAAAAAAAATCTGGGGCAAATTTTGGCCTTTGTTTTCAAGCTTTAGAATTGGATATTTTCTTGTCCATCCCTTTTTTTTATTACCTGTCTGAGGTAAATTTACATTAACAACAACCACAAAAACAATTCTGTATTTTTCTCCATAGAAATTCAATGTGATATTATAAATGTAAATATTATCCATTGATAGATATACAGGTTCTAACTATTTTTGAGCCTTAGTGAGACAGACTTACAGCCATTAATTTTTTAAAGAGTTGTGTTCAAGTGCAAAGATGACAGGTGACCAGATAAAGTCTGGGTTAGAAGGACTGGATAACAAGCCATCAATTTGGAAGGGAAATCAGAGATAAATGGTCATCCACCTTATTTGACAGATGAGGTCATGAAACCAGTCTTATGTATAGATACGGTATAAGTTTTCACAAAGACAACTTTCAACAGAAAATATTTTCTAATTCATTTCCAACAATAAGAGATTGCTATCACACGATTAATTCTTTCATAGTCAACAGTACACGTGCAATCAATACAGGTATCCATGACAAAAAATTATGAAAGTACTAGAAACCTGTTCTCTATTTTATCAAGATTACATCTGGTTACCCCTGCTATTATCTTCACTGGAGTATGCAGCATTATCCCTCAGCATCCCCTTTCCCCCAACACACACACTGTCCTTATTGAAGTTTAGTGGGTATCAGAAGCAAAGGCACCTATTTAGGCACCTCTGGGAGAAGTTATGCTTAAATTTATAAAAAAATATATTTGAGAACATTATACACTACAAGGACAACAATCATTTACACTCATTTTTGATGTTCATTTCTAAGAGATAATCTAGCAGAGATGTTATTCTAGAATCTTGTGAATTTTCTAACCCAAGATTATTTCTGCTTGCCTAAGAAAGAGAAGGAACTGAAAAATGCCTGTATGATCAAAATGTTGCCAAGTTGGCTTGTCTTTAAATGCTTTGATTTCATTGGCATTCCATGAGGCAATCACTTTGATGTTCGTCAAATTAAACAAAAGTAAAACTACTAAGGTATTCGACTCACGAATTTAATATACATTTATGTGTGTGTGTGTGCGCATGTATGTGTGGTTACAGTAGGAAACAGATTATAAGAGAATGTTGTGGTTCTAAAGGAGTGAATTTCACCTTTTACCCTCACTATTTCTCTAAAAGGGAAAGAAATAATAAACTAGGATGAGATAAAGCTTATTTAAAGCCTTCATTTCCCAGGGCATATTGGGATGCATTTAAAACTGAGAACAACCTTGAAACCTTGTGCTGGTTTTGCCTAGATGAGGATTGAATTTCTGAAGACAAAAGTACAAACACAGTATAGACATGCTATCCATTGAAAACACTGAATCTATACATTTGAATAATAATAAAAAAGTATTCTTTATATATAAAATGTCTCCCAGGTACCAAAAGATCAAATAAAAATCCCACCCCTCCTACTGTGTTCCTAGGTTGGTTATATACTTATTTGAGAAATGCTTCATAGCACTTGTTTCAGTGCAGTATTTTCTGGTTTGTGGGGCTGGAATCAAACGGATCACTATTCCCTGTGCCCCAACACACAGACTTAGGAAGTCAGTGCTCCCTATAGCACCATACTGCACGATAGGTGTGCATGACTGCGGCATCCATCAGACATACGAGATCTGGTTACTGATAGCCTTAGCCATGGGCACCTGAGGCCCCACTCAAATTATAGCTGTCATTCAATCCAGAAGCCAATGGGCATTCTCTTGAAGTCCGCTTGGCTCTTCTGTTCTCTTTATTGGTAGGTCTGATTTGTTACTCTGATCAATACAGGTTAACTTGTGAAGTCCTATATACAACACTCTTCCTCCTCCAGACTACCTTGCTATTACCTTGCTATTGCTACTTAGAAATGTTAATCATTGGAGGTGTGATAAATTTACAAATATTTAGTTTTTAACCCATAGCAAGGCAGATATTGGGCTAGAGTGTAAAACACAGAGCATTTAATATACATAGGAAATTTAGGAAAAAAATTTTTGATGCTAATTTTCCAGTCATTTCTACTATTTCTCATCATTATAAGATTACTTACATATTTTGAATTGCATCCCACAGTAGTCACAGGCAAATGAGAATACCATATGCTTTACAAAAAAAAAAAAGGGATATCAGAAAATGAGTCAAAGTAAAAAAATAACAGGTACCATCCATTCTCCAGCAAATAATGAATATGTGGTGTATTTAATTACAAATTTCCAAATATATATTCACATAATAAAGACAAGGAAAATGAAGCAAAATCAAATGTATTTTGTTGAAATAAGCACATGAGCTTGAAGGATCAAGTACTGATGGCTCCAAGTGTTTTCCATGTTAGATTCACTTTGAAAGTACTGATGCCATCAGCACTTGTCAGCTGGCGCCCAAGGGTGTAAACTTTGAGCTTGGATACTTTTCACAGGAAAGCCTCATATTCCTAAAGGAGACAAATGACCACTAAAAAGTAACCATTAATACAGATTATTTATGGAGGACTTTATCTTGACTACTAATTAAGGGAGTAATTGTATCTCTGAACTTTATATCAGACTTCCAGTAGATTTGTCAGATTATTAATGCTTTTTTAGAATACATGGGGGTGGGGTTATAGTCACATAATACAGTTTTTCATATTTTTAAAAAAGGGGTTGGACCAAGACATAAGTTTCATTGACAATCTTAATGTTTTCAGTGTAAACAATATGTTAGAATAACTGCAGTGAGTCGCACAGCATATAACTTCTTAATGGTAAATTCAGAACCAATCTTCCAGATAAGCAAGTACAACATTTTAGTTAGAAACAAAAGCAAAACAAACAAAACAAGAACAAGGTTGACTTCAACAAAGTTTTGAGGCCTTCCAGTTGTTTGATAATTGTGATAAATTTCAACACGATGACATATTGGATGCCCAACTTATTGGGTTTTTATAGACCTGTTAGTTTTTAAGACCATTTTCTAAAATGTTCCCATAGATGTATTTTTAAATGAGAACTTAGATGATCTAGACATTACAAATTTATAATAATCTTTTGAAATTCTACCAATATCACCTCCATATTCAAAACAATGGAACTATAACAGAACAAATAATAAATATCACACAACCTTTTGTTAAATGTAAAGTGCATTTTTACCAGTGTTTCAACATCTGAGACTTTGAATTTCTATTAAGTAGTTCTGATAAATACATAGTGCTCTTTCTTTTTTCTGGATGACAATATGTCTACTAATAACGGATGTTCCCAAAGAGCAATTTGCAATGTATTTTCAACAGAAACAACTTAGCCTGAAATAAGAACTGTATATATTTACTGCTTGACTCAGAAATAGTTATATTCTTTTTCCATGGAATGTGTCTTCCACCAAGAGATTTTAACCAAGGTTTTCCCAAACTGCAGTAAAAGAAATCTTTTATGCTTTCAAATACGGTGCCTTTTTATTTAAAACAGTGTAAACATAACAACTCAACACCACCAATAATTGGAAAAAGACTGGGTATGTGAACACTAATTTCCTCATATGTCCCATGAAAGTGAGGGTAAATAAACAGACAAATCTTCAGGAGAGGTTTCAGTTCACCTTAGCAGTGGTAAAAATATTGCTTTATTCCAAATGAACATACAACACAATTTACTGTTCTCTTGGGGGGCTTCTTGTGAACTGAATAGTCTGGGTTTTTTTATTTCAACAATTTATTCTTCCCATACTAACCACAGAAGCCAAAGCCTTGGTCCACACGTAGTAGACTTGCTATAAAATAAATAGCAATGAGGATGATGAGAAAGCAAATGGTAACTGTCAATTTGTTAATTGTCTTGTGTTAATAATTTAAGTAGGCATGATTCAAAATAAACACACACCCTCAATTAACTCACCTTATGATACTGATATCATTAATGAGCCAATAGTTGATCCTCTCAAAAGTATTCACATCAGAAAATGGTCTAGACAGTGTCAAGAGTTTTATACGACCCCACCATGCAAGTGACCTTGATTTAAGAACTAACTGAACTTTATACTTAATGGAAAAATTTAAAGTGAACAGATCTAAGAGGGAAATACTTTTTCTGAATATTAGATTCCCTGATGTTTCAGAACAAATTTTAGCAAGCGTAATACGCGCACACATGCACACACATACGCACAATGAACACATGTGCTTACAGCATATGTGTCCGCGTGAGCAAGTCCACACACACACACGCTCGCACACACATGTGCACACAGGCACACAAAAACTGAGAAACGCTCCTCCAGAGCCTCTAAACAATCTCAAGGAAAAACATTTCTATTAGCATGATTTTAGTGACACGACATAGTGACTTGTTTGTCTCTTTTTCTGTAATAATTTCATACCTCCAGCTGAGATCTGTGCATTCAAATCTCAGAGGAAGGTGGCACACAAGAGTAGTTAAGATTGCCCCCGGTTTCTCCTTCTATCTCCTGTCCTCCTTCCCATTGCAGAGTCTTTTGTGGCATTCTCCAAAAATCAAATAGAAAACACTACATTTCTCGACATGACATAACCTGTGATGAGGCTATTGGGTGAATAGAAATTTAGGGCTTGGGACTGGCAAGCCAAATGGCAAGGGCCACCTGCTCACTGGCGCATCCACCTGCAGGATGCAGCTCTCCTCTTTTTGAAACCAGTGTGTTTTAATGAGACACTGGCACTTGTGGGGCCAAGGGTCTGAATTGCCCACATCTTCTAAGAGCCAAAGAGGACAGTGTTGGGACTAACTGAAATTGGATTCAGAATTCTACCCCAAAGCTTTAATGGTAAGCTTTATCCCTCCTGAAACATTTCTTTCCCTTAAAAAAATATTTTGTTAAAAAACACTATGATATGAGGGCGATAGACTATTTGGTTTCTTCTAAGTAGATGCTCTTAAATTAATGCATATAAATAATTTGTATTTGATTTCCTCTCTTTCCTGTTGAGCAAAGCATAGAATGCACAGATTCCTACATCTCCAGTCACTTGGTCAATGCAGAGTCTCTTTGTATTTCATTTCTTAAGACAAATTGTGCCTCTCGTTCTGATTTGGCCGTGGGACTCAGGGGGAGAAAGGCTGTGTTTTCGCTTGCACTGTCCTCGGTTTCTACGCTGGCCAGTTCGTAGTCTTCTGACCGTCTGGCATCAGTCAGAATTCGGATCTGCTCCTGGACAGTTTCTAGCAATATTTTCACTTCCTGTTGTTCTGCTATAAGACAATCGCTGACTGGAATACTCACATTGACAACGTCAGCTGAATAGGAGTTTTTGCACCATTTGATGCTTTTGACTTCAGAAATCCCTGGCATTTGCAGGCAGGTTTCCTCTAAACCCACTGAAGGGATGATGGGCACAGAACTGGCCCTTGTGGATGAATAGCCCACCAGGTCCTTTTGCTCCAAGCTATTAAAATAGGGGTTTGTCTCTCTTGAAGGCAGTTGCATATTTATTGATGTATTTCGTTGAGTTTTTAAACCACTGGATGAATACCTGAAAAAGAAACACAGTGTTACTCCTTCTGCCTTCTGCTGGGCTTTGTTAGAGCAATACTCAATCCACAAAGCACTTTTCACATGCACCATCTCACTGAATTCTCACAGCAACCCCATGAGACGGATAATAGATTCCCAGTTAAACAGAGAAGTAAACTGAAGCTCAGATAGGTGAAGTGACTTGCCCAAGGTCACACAGAAAATAAGTGACAGACTGAGACTCAAACCCAGATCTTCTTACTTTAAGTCCAGGGGTCTTTCAACACACCACAGCTGTATAGGCAGGTGGGATATAGTCTTCCTGACCTCTATCCTAGAATACAAAGTAAATGGGGATTGAGCAGGTAAGTGTGGCCTTTCCATTGTGACAAACAGGACACCCATAATGGCATTAGTCCACTCCATCAACTCGACCACCCTCTCAGCCCTGGGTTAGTCCAGTAGACTTGTTGTGGCCACCCTAGTTGAAGCCAATCAAGAAGCCCAATATTAAGCATCCAGATACTACAATCACGAGTTTTTCTGCTTCACACCGATTTTAGGGGATCCAAATCCAATTTCCACTGGCACTGTGCTCTAAAGGAACCACCTCACTGCCAGATTGCCGAGCCAGCAGATGGGAATGGGAGGATAACGATTCCTCTACCTGCCTGGGGCTGAATATGAAGTGGGTTTCATAGGGCTTCTATGCATCTAGCATCTTTCCTTACAACCAAGTAACCAAGAAACCAAGTAAGGTAGTTCTTTGGTCCATGGCAAGGACTTGTCAAGAACGCCAATATGCCATTGCAAGTCATTTGAATACAGCAGAATCTTCTAACTTCCCTTCTTGCCTGTTCAGGGCTAGTAAATCTTTCTCCTCTGTGCTGTTCAGGGACAGAAAATGGGACAGGTACATAGCAGATTTGTAGAAATGGGGTTTTGGAACTTGAACAGTAGTGTTTTATTCTATTTCTTAGTTATTTGTCCCTAATTTAAATGTTAAACATTAAAATTTTGACACAATTTAAACATATCAACCTTCCATACAATAAATCTCATTTCCTTGACTTCCATTATTATGTAAATGAAAATCATGTTTATACATGTAGATAATAATTGCAATGCAGTGTGTTGCATACTAAATACAAATCTTTATTGTAAGGACATGATTGGGAGCAAATCAGAGGTCTTTCCACCAGACAGTGAACACAGACAGGGAAGAGATTTAGGCCTCTGTAGTCCCATCCTCTCTTACTGTGCCTAATACGGAATTGATAATCAATACACTTTAACCATGTGAACACATGAATACATAAAGAAGTCTTCAAGGTAAACTCCCCCTTTATATCCTACTTAATGTCTGTTTTCAAACTTAATAACAACAGCTAATATCTGTACAGTGCTTGTAAAAATCACTTTCACCTCCAATTAACTTGTTTTATTTTTTAAAAACCTTGTAGTTTATTTATTATTATATTTAATGGATGAGTAAAATAGACTAAGATGATTTTCCCAAAATTATATCTTTAGTAAGAGTCACACAGAGAATTTAAACCCAAGTTGTCTTATTCTAATTATTACTGTCAATGTTAGAGGTTGCTAATGAATGAATATATCCTAAGGTGAACCAGAATACCTTTTCGGGGATACGTAATCTTTATTCATACAAACTGCACAGCTACATATTTGGAAATTCTTGGGGAATATTACTCCATTCTCATTAGTGTTATATAACTGAAAATATGAGCCTAAAAGTTCAAATCAATAAATCACTTTCAACAAGAAGTAAGGAAACAAAATTCAGGCTTTTGTTTTGCTCTCAGCACCATCCTGTTAGCATGATTTGTATGTATGAAAATATAGAAAGTCTGCCTGTCAGGTTCACCAGTGAAACAGGGACAAGAAATGTAGCCAGGATAGCATTTCACATATATATCATCAGGGTATACCAGCAGGTAGAATCTGGTAAGTTGATACGCGATGGTGATAGGTAAAAATTCTTACACTTGGATCTAAACAGTTGGATAAAGGTGCAAGTATCTTAGAGAATGTTTTTAAATTGTAAATTCAACAAGTCAACTAGGTGACATGACTAAGACATAATCAAAGGCAATTCACGCCAAACTTTGAGCATTCTTCTCATTTGCCAGAGGTCTGACTAAAAGATTTAGATGAGAAAGAGGAATTGCAGTGGACTATTATGTGTCACTTTCCAAGTCAGGCTTTGAACACATGCCTGGCAACAACCGAAATTTAAAATGTTACCATGACATGAAGATGAGTTGTAAACAATGAGAACTTTCCTAACTGTGATTTTGTTTTGAATTAGACATGATTTCAAGTTCTAAAATTACTATATGCTCTGGAATCTCAGGCAAATGGCAGCCTCACTTTAATTTTGCCATCAATTAAAACAATCAGGTAGTAACACTAACTTGATTGCTCAGAGGGAAGGGGAATTTTTCTGAGGACTAATTGAAATAATGTCTCTGCCCTGTTCTACTAGAGACACAGTGGCAAGCCTCACGTCCCCCCAGAGATGCTATGAGTGTCCCAGCACTGGTATTCCAGCAGAAGTTTAAGTGAGAGCTACATTTCTAGATGTAATTTCTGAGTCAGAGGATTCAAAGTTCTGTATCCCTTGAGGGCCACTGATGCTTCCACAAGTTCTGTCCATGAGCTTGTCATTTCGTTTTGGGCCAGTCTGCCTCTCATCCTCAACAAAGAAATTACAAATGCATCTTGTCTGTAACTATGTGAGTCGAAGCATTCTTTTAAAGAAGAAAGATTCCAAGTATTAGTCACTTGGTTTGGTTCCCAGTCATTCATGAGTCATGCTAAGGAATTTGTGTTTCTCTAGGAGACTCCAAACCCTCTCAGTTCCTAGGGCACATGACAATGAATGAACAGACTATTCTGAAGGAATCCACACTTTCCTCTGAAGTCATAAAATTACATACTCCATTTACAAATCATCAGCCATAAATGTGGTTTTCTTCACATTCCTTGTTGATTTAGTGGTTTATTTAGTCAGAAAAGCCAGTATTCAATCTCAGCTCTTTTACATGGGACTGTGTATGTCACATTGGGCTAGCCATTTAAATGCTGATATCCTTAGTGTGCTTATCCATAATATTTCTAAAGAATAACTGAAGGAAGTATATAAAGTTGCTAGCTAGATGTGGTAGGTATTTAGTATATTTTGAATTTTATCTACTTCTAAGATGTGAATCCAACTTTTGTGATTCCATCTCTTTTTGTCTGGCATATGAATACATTAGCTTGATTTTCCTGACATGATACAATTAAAACTCTCTGAGCCATTACCATGGCTGTCATTGACCAGGGCTCCAGTCATGACAAAGTTTCCTCAAGAATCTCCTCTTCACCTCACTCCTTTCCCAGGCCACAATAAGATAGACGTTAGGTTCAAGCTGGGCTGAAGTTCTTGCCAAGGAAAGAAGCCAAATACGTTGGGAACCTAACTGTCATAGACAGCGCCCACTTGCTTGGTAAACAAGCAGCAGATAGCCGATGGCTCTTGCAAATTCATTTCCCCTTCGTCCAGGCTGGGGCCAAATTTAAAGAGGGCCTTTAGCTGTGAAATTCTATTACCAATCCCATTTCCAGTCCAGAGAGACAGTCAGCCCCCTGGGAGTGGAAAATAGCTGTTTATAAGAACTGAGAATGAGATTATTCCCTGAGATTCATTGTGCTGGGCATACAGTGACTTACACTTAGAGTCACCATTTATCAACATCTGGTAGATATCACACATGGGAAAATACCTGTGACCAGGCAGCTGGAGAGAATATTCCAACCCAATCGTGACTGAACCAAAACAAAACCACCACCATGCAGAAAATAAGTGTGAGTCTCCTAGGAAGTTAAAAAAACAAAGCATTGCCTGAACATGTGATGTGATCTCTGAGCCCCTGATGATATGTGCATGGTTCAAGCTTGAGCCTGGCGTAGGCTCCAAGCACCCTTACTCCTCGAACATATGGAATGAAGGTCATAACAGTGCCCAGTAGAAAAAAAAAAAAAAAGCAGCATGGGCTGGGTTTTTTGTCCACTCACAAAATCTCTAAAGTTGGTTTTTCCTCATTTGTTCTTGTAACATTCATCCCAGGGATTTTATGTATATGTATATAGTCATATTCATTAGCAAGAGGCATCATTAGTCAATTATATAGAAAAGGCACTATGAAACATGATCAATTACAATTATGGGTTAAATGCAAGCCTGCTTTTCCACAGATAAGACCAAGAGAAATGCAAACTGCTTCTTGACTCGCATTATACATTTTGAACCCCTTGGCTGTTATGTTTGCTTTGCAACTGTCACCCTAAATCTGTACCAAATGCCTTTTACAGTCTATTTGGAATTGCTTCAAAAATATAAACCTAGCCACCAGCCATTTATTTCCTATCTTCTAGTTTTCCTAAAGAAATCTGTTGATGAACTTTGTTAGACAGGACACTGCTCGATATATCCCATTCCCATATGAAAAGAGAAACATGAGATTCTATGCTAGACCTACCCACTGTTTTGGTCTTTAGCCTGATAGAGACAGTCTGGAAAAATCATCCAGGTCAAAGCAGCATAGAAACCAGGCCTGGCTCATTCAGAGAGATAAAAACAGAGCCACAAGAACCTGGCTTGAGTGAGGGAACTGATTTCTGAAATTTCTAGAGTAAACTCTGATTGCATTGCTCTTGAAATTATTGAAAAAATTATAACAATTACTGTAACAATAAATACCAGTACCATTTCTCTGCTTACTATGTGTCTACTGCAAACTCTTTACACACATGGTTGTTTTAAACCTGCCCAACAATCTTCAGGGGGTTGACATTATTTTGCTCAATTATTTGTATTTTTCTTTTCTTTTTTGAGATAGGGTCTCTCTGTCACCTAGGTTGGAGTCCAGTAGCACCATCTGCACTCACTATAGGCTCCATCTCTGAGGCTCAAGGGATCCTCCCACCTCAGCCTCCCAAGCAGCTGGGACCACAGGTACACATTACCATGCCCAGCTAATTTTTGTATTTTTGGTAAAGATGGTGTTTGCCATGTTGCCCAGGCTGGTCTCAAACTCCGAGCTCAAGTGATCTTCATGTCTCAGCCTCCCAAAGTGCTGGGACTATGGGTGTAGCCACAGTGTCTGGTCTATTTTTCTCAATTTATAGATAAGAGCATCTAAGACCACATCATAAAATATTCTCAAAGTCACACTAGTAGTAAGGAGCAGAGATGGGATTTGAAGTCCAGTCAGTTTAAGTGAGGATCGCATGCTAAGTTGGGTAGTTTATGCCAACTACGTGAATAATGGCTAACATTCATCCTGTACTCAGCTCACCATGCTTTGAGGCCTCTATGGATCTGTGTCCACCAGAGGAAGGGACATCTTTTGCACTGTAAAGAGCAGCAGCGATGGTGTCCAAAGCCCATCCTTCTACCCCTGTACCATGAATAACTTGCAGATATGAGTTTAGTAAGTTGTACTTTGACTTTACACTCTCAAGATTGACCCAGATTCTACATTCAAGCTCAGGGGAAGCAGATACTGTATATATGCCATGAGTTATTGTTTAGTGTATTGTTCACAATACTTATCAGGAATTAAGTCCTTTTTCTAATCTGCAGATGAAGGAACACTGTAATCCTCCTTTGATTTTTTAAATCAAAGAGAAATTTCCAGTTGTATTAGCAAATGATCTAATAACATATTGCCTAGATATCTACACTTACTTTCTTCCTAATTATATTTCTTTCTAATGTAATGTTTTCCCGATACCTATTTCCATCACACCTATACTTTAAAGTCGGTTCACATTTTGTAGAACAAAGATGGCAGTAAGCATATATAGCTAGTTAATGAATAAACCAATGAATAAAACCCCAAGGAACTTAAAACTTAATTTAAAGCTATGGCATTAAAGACACCTTCCCTAAATTCCACTGCTGTTTTGAGACCTACCCTTGGCAAGGTATCGTATCCTGGTCTGGGATCCTTGATTCTTCGAGTTGCTGATATGCTGGTCCCACAATTCCACCTAGCCTACTTCGGGGTGACGGGGGTGTCCTTCTGAAGGCATTCCTATGGAGCATGCCACTCCTTTGCCCTGGGCTGCAGCAAGAGGATAAACTCCTGCTGAGGTGGAATGAAAACAGACAAACAAACAAACAAAAGACATCATAGCAATAACCTCACAGGTGGCTGTCCAAACTTTGCAAACACTGAATCTGCACCCCAAGTCCTCAAAGTTCTAGGCCAGGGGCCATCCATGAATATAGTATATGTGGTAGAATGGGATCAGGAATAGCCCAATCCATTTTACCTTTGGAGACACTGAGAAAAAGGGAAGTTCCTGGATTTCTGGCTTTCTAGGTTAGAGCGTGACTGATGAAAATCATTGCCACTTTCCAGCCAGGGTAAGAGGCGAACTTAAGGAATTCTCAAGCTCCTCATTCCCATCCATCCTGATTATCCAAGGCATCGTTGGTGTCTCTCTGATAGAAATAAAAATAGCCTTCTTATGAGACACTGATGAAAACTAAACACAGTAAGCCCAGAAGGGATTTATGGGGGAAAATATTCACTTATTAGTGATAGAATTAACAAATTTTAATTGGCATTTTCTCATTAACATATGTTTAAATCCCCTGTTCACTACCTCAGATTTTAATCAATCTTGACAAACTAAATTATTTTTCTTCGGAGTTTGCTTTTAATAAACATCTGATTATATAGTTTATTTGACTCATACATCCAAATGCCTAAATAACTATATGTTTATAGATGCCATCAATGAGCACAACATTTAAGTGGCTTACACCACAGGCCTTAACAAAGTGAGAATTCTTACATAGATTATGTACAGAAAAGACCTAGACTCTATAAAAATCCATTGCTGATGAGACTTATTACCTGTTCCTTATCCATTCCCATCTCCACCCCACTTAATTAACCCTACTGTAGACTGGTGAGGAGAACTTTGTTCACGTGTAGACATTCCACGAGATGCTAGTTTATGTGGTCACACTGGTTCTGCGGTGCTCAAATAATAAAGAAACTGAGAATTTTGTGCTGCATTCTCATTTAACTCTGTAAATATCAATACAACCATAGAAAGAGATATGAAAACATTCTCGAAATTTTAATAAATTTATGAAGGTTCTAAAGAAACCAGTCTCTCAAAGACATTTTACCCATATCACTATATTATTTGGGGTTTTGTCACTTTTCTTCCATCAATACTACTATTAATTCTACTTAGTCAATACAAAACAGGACTTTGCAAATATTATTTAAGGTCAGAGTTTGAAAATCTGATATTTGAGTGTTAATAGCCACTTTCTTGGTTGTGGCAAGGTGACTGATCAATCCCTATATTCCTCAAGCCAACATTAACTTCCTAAATTTGTGCAAGCAGAAGATCGTATCTGGTAACATCCCTTATTATACCTTTATTCTTTTTTTTTTTTTGAAACAGAGTCACCCAGGCTGAAGTACAGTGGCACGAACTTGGCTCACTGCAACCTCCACCTCCTGGGTTCCCATGATTCTCCTGCCCCAGCCTCCCAAGTAGCTGGGACTACAGGTGCCCCCCACCACGGCAGGCTAATTTTTGTATTTTTAGTAGAGACGAGGTTTCACCATGTTGGCCAGGCTGGTCTCAAACTCCTGACCTCAGGTGATCCACCTCCTAGGCCTCCCAAAGTGCTGGGATTACAGGTGTGAGCCACTGTCCCTAGCCCCTATACCTTCATTCTTTATCATGATACTTCTGGTGTGGTGTGTCCCTAAATGCCTAACAGGGGATGTCTAGTTAGCTCACTAAGCCCACAAGTTGGAGAAGCTCTCTAGCAGCTAATTTGCTTCCTTGCCTTCCTACTTTCATCTATCATCCAATGGCAACGATGGGATCTGCAGGGCGTGAAGGATGAGATGCTAGAGTTAATTAGCTGCAACTGAGTATAAGTCTTGGGTCTGCAGGTAACTAGTTGCTGGAAGCATGATGCTGGCGGAGGTACTTGTAGCAGTCAGAGTCCCGGACAGACATAGATGGCAGTTTACCTTGGTTCATTGCTAGAGATTTTGCTATATACAAAAGTGTGATCAGTGTTTGAGGGGGAAAAAAGCAATAAAGGAGGCTGCCTTGCCTCAGGACTACTATGAGAAGCTATTATTATCCCTCTGACTTAAGGGACAAGGAGAGGGAGCAGTTCCTAGAATGGAGAGAGAAAGTGAGTTGTAAGGAGGGGGCCGCATTGCAGGCTCCATGGCCCCAGAAAAGGGACATACTGAAGGCAACCAAGCAGGGAGGAAGGGTACACAAGGGCCATGACCTCACTCTCCTCCCTGCCGTCTATCTCATGCCTGTGCCTCACACTGAACCCACAGAAACCAGAGGACAAGGGAGCCTGCAGCCGTCTTGGTGTACAGGGCAAGGCAGAAAACAGAAAAGGTAGAAATTGTTGCCAGTGTGAAAAGGGAGTGGCAAAAGGAAGATATCAGCGTTCTACTTAAGAATTTTCCTAGGTTCGCTATGGGATGTGGAGGTTTAAAGAGAGGAAGTATGCAAAGCATGGAGCATGGAGCCTGGCACACAGTAGGTGCTCCGCACGATAAGTTCCTCTAGCTCCCCTGCCACACCTGGCAATTCAAAGGGTCTTCTCTGTCACTGAAAACCCTGGAATTACTTCAACGCAAAAAACCTACATACGTGGTTTTTATAAGTGACACGGCGAGGCACAGTGGCTCACACCTGTAATCCCAGCACTTTGGGAGGCTGAGGTTGGCGGATTACCTGAAGTCAGGACTTCAAGACCAGCCTGGCCAACATAGTGAAACCCCATCTCTACTAAAAATGCAAAAATTAGCCCGGTGTGGTAGCACGTGCCTGTAGTCCCAGCTACTTGGGAGGCTGAGGCAAGAGAATCCCTTGAACTCAGGAGCCGGAGGTTGCAGTGAGCCGAGATCACACCACTGCACTACAGCCTGGGCGACAGAGCGAGACTCTATCTCCAAAACAATAAAATAATAAAAAAAGATAAATGACTTACATTGCCAAAATATACTGCAATAAATATGACATGCCGTAATAGATTTATTTTCTAAACAGATGGGATTTTTTTTGAACTAAACATTAGAAATAATGGCTCTGAATTAATAGCTTTGTTTCGTACATGAGTTATCCAAATAAGTCATATTTGCAGTCACAAAAGAAATTAATTATTCATAGCTCACTAAACTGTCACAACAACAAAGTCTATCAGTATGAACTAGTGACCTGTCTTAAAAAGAGTTTTATGCCTATTGATCAATCAGCTATTCAGGCCTTCTCACTCAGTGGCATTCAGGAAGTTATGGAGCAGTTTCCAGGATATATAAATCAGTGCCTGGGTTATCAATCATGAAAACGTTTAAGTCTATTGCATGTTTTACAGAACAAAAGCTATGATATATTAAACTATAATTTACAAAGTTCTAAAAGCATTTTGTGAGTCAACCCTTGCCCATCTATCAGGACACAATGTATGCTAACAGATACTACAATGTCGTTGATCCAAACAAAAAGGAAGGTCTCTTAAAGATGTCCTTATTTAATCTGTGAGTGACTTCTAGACACCATAGCAGAAGCCAAGTTTAGGAAGGAGCATAAAAAAAAGCACATGAGAACTGGGGATAGTAATATTGCAGCTCAAACATATTAAAAGCTGATCTTTTAAAACAAATATATCAATTTTAAAACATTTATGACAGAATATAGTTAATATAATACTAGAATGATATTATACTGAATTACTTGACTAGGTGGAATACTACTTTAACATGTGTTATAATCAGGAGGAGAAAATACCATTTGGGGGAAAATATCGGTCTTCTGAAAGACTGGTAATATTGAACTTATTTCCCTAATTAAGACAACTTCCATTAGGTCCAGTGAAATGAAATGCTCTTTTCACAGGAAAATATTCTGTAAATGCAACATTGATATAAATCAAAACTTGCAGTAAGAATAGCTAAAGCAATTATCCAAGAGCCAAACATATTTCAATCCTGAATTGAACATAGATTCATACCATATTTTTTAAAATGGCAAACTCTCAGTGTTTTAATGTCTACTCATGTAGAATGAGAATAAAAATTACCATCAAGTGCTGAGGATTAGTGTCAAGAGTGACTAAAAATCTCAAAGTAAATGTGGCCAGAAACAATAAAATCCATTTCATGTAACTCATTAAAAGGTGAAGAAGAAAGTAGTTTTCTTCTATCATGTATGTGTCCAGCTTGGTGTTGTGCAAACTATTGCCTAGTATATGACAACAAAGGGGCAACAACATTCAACTTTCATTGCTGGGAACGACTGTTATTTACTTTTTCATTGTTAAAATGTTTAATTTTTCATAATTTTTTCAAATTGTAAAATAGTGTATATCTCACTAAGAAAAGGAAGCTTAAATCTTTGGACAACTTCCATAAAGACTGAGGATGGGTATCTGTCATTTGTCCTAAACTTCATCATTTGGTTTAGAACAAATACCTTAATCTAGCATTTGTCCTAAACTTCATCATTTGGTTTAGAACAAATACCTTTAATATTTGGAGTTTCAGAATCCTGATGTATAAAACAGAAAAGTGGAGACTAGAAGATACTGAAGGACAAGGTTAGCTTTAGAATGCTATGAAATGTGTCAAATAACTACGTTTTTGGCTTTTTCTCCAAAGCAGCCAATTTCTGGGGAGCTTGTAAGAAACTGCCACCCCATTTATAACAGAAGATTTTATAGACCCAAGAAGAAGATTCACCAGGCTTCTTCCCCGTGGAAAATTTTATTTTGTAAGAACCGTGTTGGAAAACCTGAAGTCTGTCACATTAGGCTGCACAGGGAAGAATTACTCATTAACTGTGTCATTTAGAAAAGGCAGGCCAGGTAACGTATTTTTAAAAATAGTTTTTCAGAATGCAATTTATTTTTTTAACTGGTCTGTAGCTTTGATGGGTATTATTTATAGTTCCATCAAGTTTCTTACAGGGGTAATGCTGTCTGCTGTGGAAACCGGTATCTTTGGTTTACCTGATGTGAGGTGTTTGAGCATCTGCTCCACAGAGAACTACAGGAGAAGCAAGAACAGTTGTCTCTCCTAGGTCATGCTGCCAGTCCTTGGCATGTGCCACCCAGCATACACACAGTGTGAACGTGCCCACTCCCACCATGATGAGCTACTTGTACCTGTGGTGTTTGACAGACTGGCTTCCTCTGTCAGGAGAAGGGACATCAGGGAATGACTGGGGGCCGACAAAACTTGACTCCATCATTTTCTCCAATGCAGTCACAGGATGCCTTTCCACCTTTGAATACTGTGGGAAATCACACGTACAGAGTTGAGATGAAGGATAAGTTATGGGAGGAGGGCCTAGAACACCAGAGCTAGGCATTGAGAAGTTACTGGAATGCCAATTCCTCCTGGTCACCTGATTAGAGGAGCAGGAGATGAGACATAATTTGTGTCCTATTTCCAACACATTGAGTATTCACCTCCCCTGCCCCAACCATCTCTGTGCCTAGACAGGATCCATTGAAGAGGGTTCTTCATGTCAGAATCCCAAGCCTGCTCTCTCATTTTTATTAATGTACACCCATGGCACACTGTGACTGACAGTCAAAAGGTGCTTACATATGGTTTAGTTGATGTACATCTTACCAAAAAAATTGAATTAGTAGCTGGGTTACTACTAAAAAGGATTCAATAAACACTTATTAAATTTCATAACATTCTGAGAGTGATGAAAGACATTGGTTCAGAACATCTGGCCACCACGCTCCACTGTTTTTCTCTTTCAGCTTGTTAACAGGTAATTACCATGTTTCACAAGAGAAATTTGGAGCATTTCACTCCTTATAGTTCGGAACTCTTGGTTTCTCCTTTGGCTATAATAACTCGTAAGGTGTGGAAGCCTAAAGAAGGCTTATATAGATGACAACTTCAGAAAAATTTTACCCCAAAAGAAATATCACACGGCATCTCAAGAGTCAATAAGTTGTCAACTTTAATACTCCTTGCACACTGGGCGCTGGAACAGGTAGCAAAGGGTAGAAGATTTCTCTTCTAGAAACTCCAGGTGAAGACTTTCTTTAGAAATAGAAGTTTAAGGATGCTCATCAAAATAAAAGAGAGTTTGGAGTCTGGATAGTCAGTACCCAACGTGTCAAGTTAAAGATTTTAAGTGTTATCCTGAGTAACTATAAAACTCTAACTCAGTATACCCTTTTTTTTTTTTTTTTCATTTCAAAAGCAAAGAAGCCGCTATTAGAAGCATTGATGAAAAAAATCAAGTTAATCAACCTTTTTGAATCTCACATCTATATGGTGGGATAATAAAATGTCTCTTACAGGGTTGTTGAAAAAATTCACAAACAATACTTAATGCATTTGATCCAGGTAAAAAGAAGGTAGACACAATAATGAAGATGATACTCTAAGATGTTTTCTAGCCTTTTAGAAATATTATCTCTGAATTATAAGAAACTAAAGATAAATTCCACCCTAAGTCCCATTTCTAATCAGTTGGTAGTGGCTGCTTATAGTCTTATATTTACATATATTCTAAAGATGACTTATGAAGTAAGAAATGGAGAAAGAAAGAGTTCTAACCAGAAGAAAAGTGAATCCAGGAGGAAGGAGTGGGAGATATTTTATTGTAATTTCTTTCTTAAAATGTCAGCTTTAAAATTAACGCTTGAAAGTAAAGTCCAAAGACTTTCAACAAGGCTGGAAGATATTGACAAGAAAAAGAATATAAAAAGACAGAAGAATGAACATTTGAAAAACAAAAAATCCAGGCTGGGATTGTAGAGAATAAAGACAATGTAACATATGCATGCTGATTAATTTTAGACACTGATGAACAAAACATATGTATTTAAGTATTAGAAATTAGACAGCACTAGAATATAAGAATTATATATAAGACATGAAAAAATTAAAATAATTTTAATTCAGCAAAAATTAATAAGAGGGGGCTGTAACAAGAGAGCATGGTAAATCGGAAATAAACAGACAGGAATAAGTGTGAAACTATCAGTGAGGATAAAAACTGTGGATGGTTAGATTTAACTATTAAAAGACAGATTCACGCACTGATTTTAAACATCTAGTCTTCTATGTTCTGAAATAATTAATTTAAAAACAACAGAGAAAAAACTTGATAGAATGGGTAGGGATATACTCTGCAAAGTATAGGGGGAAAAGTTTTTAACAGTAATAATTTCAAGTAAAACATAATTATGTATAAAATGCATTTTAAAAGGAACAAAAATGGATATTTCATATTAATAGAATGAGCAATCTAGCAAGTGATAAATATTCATAAATTTTTATCTACCTAACAACATAGCTTCAATATGAAAGGCTTTCTCAGGCCAGGCACGGTGGCTCATGCCTGTAATCCCAGCATTTTGGGAAGCTGAGGTGGGCAGATCACCTGAGGTCAGGAGTTTGAGACCAGCCTGGCCAACATGGTGAAACCCTGTTTCTACCAAAAATACAAAAATTAGCTGGGCATGGTGGCATGCACCTGTAATCCCAGCTACTTAGGAGGCTGAGGCAGGAGAATAGCTTGAACTCGGGAGATGAAAGTTGCAGTGAGCTGAGATCGTGCCACTGTACTCAACTAGTCACAAAAATTATAAACCATTAACATTGTCATAACTTAATTACATACGAATTGTGGCAAGGAATGTAACTATGGATAACAGTAAAGTGTAATTTTAGTTTAATTTATATTTTTAGGTTTTGATAAAGAGAAGTGATACAGTTTGGATATTTGTCCCCTTCGAGTCTCATGTTGAAATTTGATCCCCAGTGTTGGAGATGAGGCCTGGCGGGAGGTGTTTGGGGTGTTTGGGTCATGGGGGTTGATTCCTCATGAATGGTTTGTGTCCTCCCTGTAGCAATGAGTGAGTTCTCATTCTATAAATTAATGGAAGAAGTAGTTATTTAAAAGAGCATGGCACCCTTCCCCCTTTCTCTTTTTGCTCTCTCACCATGTGGCACCTGCTGCCCTTTCTCTTCCGCCATGAGCAGAAGCCTCCTGAAATTCTCACCAGAAGCGGATGCTGGCACCATGCTTCTTGTACAGCCTGCAGAACTGTGAGCCAAATAAACCTCTTTATAAATTACCCAGCCTCCGGTATTGCTTTACAGCAGTGCAAACAGACTAACACAAGAAGATATGAATGAACTGTTTGGTTAATGGAAATACATTTAAAAACCTTTATAAAACTATATGGGAGATGTATTCATAACCTTATGGGAGAAAGACATTTGTTACCAGGACAAAACACCTAGAGACCATAAAGAAAAAAATATGTAAAATTTGACTTACTACTAATTTAAATATTTTCAGTAACAAAAGTGATTATTGGTAAATCAAAATATAAGTAAAAGCCTGGGGGAAACATTGGCTATTCATACGTTAAAGACGATTCTTAAGATATAAAGACAGAAATCAACTGGAAAGAAATTAAAGGCAACAGATGAACAAGAATTTCACAGAAAAATGAAGACAGGCAACATACATATGGCAAAGAGTGCAACTGCACTCATTATAAGGAGGTGGTAGTCAGAATAGAGAAAATTAAGCTAAGTGCAGTGGTGCACAGCTGTAGTCCCAGCTACTTGGGAAGTGGAGGTGGGAGGGTCATTTGAGTCCAGGAGTTAGAGACTGTAGTGTGCTATGTGATTAGCTATTGCACTCCAGGCTGGGCAACATAACAAGACTCTGCCTTTAAAATAAATAGAGAAATTTAAATTTCAAGAATATCTGATAAAGGAAAAGGCCCTGGAAAAGTAGCCATGGTGCTAACTTGAAGAGCAAATTGACAATATGTTTCAAAATTTTAAATATACTTACTCTTTGATCCAAAATACTACTTTTAGAAATTCTATCATGCAAATTTCCATAATTGCAAAAGTTCAAAATAATAATTTCCAGGGTATATAAACAGTACAATTTTCCATAACGAAACGGAAATAAACACAAAAGTAAAAAAAATTAAAAACAATAGAAACGTCCACAAATGACTACTACATGGCCATTGAAAAGAATAAAAGGAAGGTGCAAAAAAGTACGCATATAAATCCATTTGTGTAAATAAGGAAAATGCAATTAATAGATATAAATAGATTGTATATATATTTATGATTATATATACAATTAGCCTGGTGTTTATATATATATATACACAGATTTTTAATATACATATACATATATTTTTCTGCGTGCATTTGCATGTGTGTTTCTCATGCAACTACTTAGGAGGCAGATTTTTTAAATTAAAATAAATTATTAATTGTCTAATTAGGTGTTGTGCTTGGTAAAAAGTATATCCATGAGTATAAGCTATGGAGACTAGGGAACACATCAAGGTTTTGCAGCTTTAAGTTCACAAGCTCCAATTAGTTTTCTTTTCAATAACTTCCAAAATAAGCCACATAGTGGCAGTAATGACCATGTCTTGAACCAGAATCTGAATTTTTCACAGAGGACCTATAAAGCCCGGTCAGTCTTTTTTGTAAAATAGAGTAAAATGACAGAGAAAAGAGAAGATACAGAGATAATTTGGAAAAGGTGATTGTTTTCAACAACCTTAAAAAACAAAGATCCAATGCATAATGGAAATACTTCTATGTGTGCTTCATTATTGATTAATTGTGTATTGCAAAGTATCCATGGAAAAAGTCAGATGAATAGACATGTTTACTAAAGTGCAATGATATCCTGAATATCTGTGTGACTTCTAAGCTCTATAAAAGACATATGAGGGTTTGTTATCTTTTTTTATCTAATTAATTGGTTTACAAGAAAAACCTGGGTGCCTAGAAGGCCTAGCTACAAAAACAAGTGAGATGCTCTGGGCAGATCCATGACAAACTGAAGAAAGCAAGTATGTTCAGCAACTGCAGAGTGCTGTGATATGGTTTGGCTGTGTCCCCACCCAAATCGCATCTTGAATTGTAGCTCCTGTAACTCCCACGTGTTGTGGGAGGGACCTGGTGGGAGATAATTGAAGCATAGGGGCAGCTTCCTCCATACTGTTCTCATGGTAGTGAATAAGTCTCATGAGATCTGATGGTTTTATAAGGGAAACCCATTTCACTTGGTTCTCTCTTCTCTCTTGTATGCTGCAATGTAAGAGGTGCCTTTTGCCTTCCACCATGATTATGAGGCCTCCCCAGCCATATGAAACTGTGAGTCCATTAAACCTCTTTTTCTTCATAAATCACGCAGTCTCGGTTATGTCTTTATCAACAGTGTGAAAACAGACTAATACAGGCTGCCAGGGGACAATATCAGCC